TATGTCAAGTGTCAGAAATGTTTGGTAAAAATCACAGCAATGATTATATGTTGCAATCAAACTTATAGCAAAATTTGGTAGTTCTGTATGTTATTTCAGGGTTGGCATCATCTCTTCTCAGGTGTTTGGTCATCTCAGATCTTTTAAGGGTTGGATCCAGACTGAAGCTTGTGTAATTAATGTCTTGAGAAGACAAAAGCTGCATGTTTGTAAGAAACAAAACTATCGTTAAGCCGTTTTAACTTCAAACTGTTGCTTCTGGCCAAAATCCTCTATCCATAGTATTGCTTTCTCCAGTGAACAAATCTATTCTGATGGCACCCATTCACTGCAGAGGATCCATTGGTGAGCAAGTGATGGAATGACACATTTCTCCAAATCTGCTCCCATCTTGGCTCTCCTGAGGGTGATTTTTGGGTGAGCTATTCTTTAAACTGGTCTCATAACAAGACATAGTAATTAGCTGGACAGCAATCAGTTAGTTATTTCAGAGGTTTAGTTTGTTCTTTGTTAACAATGAACGGTGACTAATAATGTGTCTAACAGTTTTGTATATGTATAAATTATGACAATTTATGTTTCTTACTTTTCTTGATACTTTTCAAAGCAAAAATTAAAATATATATTTAAAAAATCTTGCTCTATTTCTCATTCTTTTTTGCTTTAAAGGAGACATATTATGCCCCTTTTTTTTACAATATGTAATATAAGTCTCTGGTGTCCCCAGAATGTGTCTGTGAAGTTTCAGCTCAAAATACTCCACAGATCTTTTATTATATCATTTTGAAAATGCCTATTTTGAGTGGAAGCAGAAACAAGCTGTTTTTCGTGCCCGTCTCTTTAAATGCAAACGAGCTGCTGCTCCCCGCTCCCTTTTCCAGAATAGAGCTGTGCCATTACAGCTCGGACCTGCTAAAAAACATCTGTTTTGGTTCTGATTATCATGGTTATCACGCTGAAATCATGCGTTTTAAACCATATTAGTTTAAATTTCTGATATAGGGTTTTCTGAGCGCACACATCCGAAGCACACGCACAGAAAGCGGCTGTCACAGCATGCGAGTATTAAACTAAGTTCTCATTCACACACAAGTTTACGTTAAAAACACACACGAGTTACAAAAACAGTGGGTTATGTCTGTGAAGGTAAACAGCTGGGAAATAAATCGCATGTTTATTTTAGATCTGTGTGGCAGCAGCAATATACAGTAAATAAATCAATAAATCCACTGCTCTGTTGTCTCTGAGGCTGGGACTGTAAACAGTGTTCAGTGCTGAACAGTTAGCATGCTTTGCTCAAACTTTCGCCGTGGCATTAGAACTGGTACACCGTTGTCGCTTGCGAAATCAAATGATGGCGCCGTGGGTGGAAACTTACAGATTAAGGGGCGGTGATATTATAATGAGATCCCTTTGCCACGTCACCAAGGGAGCGAAATCAGACGCTTTTTTTTACATGCTATGGGGTATGTACCAGATATAACATCTGTTTGGTTACCAACATTTAAAAAAAAATATCTTCTGTGTCCAGCAGAAGAAAGGAACTCATACAGATTTGGAACAACTCGAGTAAATGATGACAAAAATGCTGTGCTTGTTTGCAGGTAATGAAGAGTCGAACAGTGCTGCTATCGAGGAGCTGAAGAAACAGATTGAGCAGATTGCGCAGGATCTGAATCTGCTTAAGGAACAAGAAGCTTTACAAACAGGTACTGAGTAAAGCTGCATCTGTAAAGACATTGAAATATGTACACTAGAAGTTACACATACTCAATTTTGTATTATTTGTACTAATTAAAATTTGTTTCCGTCTTTTTAGTAATAACAATAAAAACATCAAAATTGTGGAAGTCAATTGTGTCCTTGAACTTTAAATCAAGTCCTTTAACTTACTAGTGAAACATCAACTCCAATTAAATATTTGTGGTATATTGTAAAAAAGTTCATGGTGTAGTTATGACATTTTCCAGCGGCGTATTTTCAGTTTTACTTCAGTTAAATTATTGACACCCAGATACACAACAACAAGAAGCATACTTCAAGTTTACTTTAAGTTAAGCTCAAGTATATTTTCAAAGTATAATTTAGGTAGTAAGTATACTAAAATCAGAGTAATAGTATACTTGTAAGTACTATTTCAATAGTTCTTGGGACTAAATTGGCTCACTTTTTGAGAACTAGTTTACATCTCATGTTTTCCTATGTATTGCAACTATACTGAAAACTATACTACAAGAGAACTTACAGGTTAGGGGGACTGTTACTGCAAACTTTGAAGTATACTCTCAGTAAACTACTAGTTTTTATATTGTAAGTATAGATTTCTTTAAGCAAGCTTGAAGTTTATCGTTTTTTTCTATCTATATTATTTTTGCCCTTTAAGTAAATACGTTCATTTTTGTACTTGAAATCTGTTAATTTAAATATTAAAAGTATACATGTGTTAAGAAACAGTCATGAAAGGGTCTCTCTTTAAGTCGCTTAAGTGGCCATACGCAATTTACGTTCAGTGGATACTCTCCAAAATGGCGCTAGGGTGACGAATTGTTGAATAAAGTCGTTATTTTTTTTCTTTTGTGCACAAAAAGTATTCTCGTAGCTTCATAAAATTACGTTTGAACCCCTGATGTCACATGGATTATTTTAAACATTCTCTCTTCTCTCTGAGATATGAGGTGTGTGGAATTCAGCGTCTGTTGTGTGTTAGTCACAGCTCATAACATAAAGAGCGTGTCCATCTGAGCTGTTCAGGGTAATGACCTGGAAGCACACATCCTAAACTTCTTACTTTCCTTCCCTCTTCAGTTTGCTTAAAAGGCATTAAGATCCCAGGCAAGTGTTTTCTCGCGGACACGACGAAGAAGAGCTTTCACGCCTCTAACGATGACTGCACTGCTAAAGGAGGAACACTCAGCAGCCCTCTTTCTGGCGACGAGAATGACCAGCTGTACAATTATGTGCAACAGACCGTCGGGCCAGAAGGGCACATCTGGTTGGGTGTGAATGACATACTAAAGTAGGGCGAGTGGACCGACCAGACGGGCTCACCGATACGCTTCAAGAACTGGGAATCAGAGATCACCCATCACCCCGATGGAGGCCGCGGCCAGAACTGTGCCATCCTGTCCAGCACGGCCAACGGGAAGTGGTTCGACGAGGACTGCCGTGGAGAAAAGGCGTCTGTCTGCCAGTTCAACATCGTCTAAGCCACATTCTATAGAATGATGGATTAGACATTAGACATTTTCAGTAGAATGTGTAGCAAAAATTTCAGTTAAAGGTACAATATGTAAGATTTTCGCTTTAAAATATCTAAAAACCACTAGAACAATGTTATATATTTTGTTGACTTGTGTACTTACATTATCACAAATATTTCCAACATTTAAATCCAGAGAAATATGCAGTTTAAACCAGTGAAATGGTCCGTGTCATTGCGTCGCATGTCAATGGTGCACATGGTGAACACAGCATCTCCCATGATTCAACACTCTGTCACAGCGTCATCAAGCTATGGCTTAGTTGTTGTTTTGAATAAGCGAGGTCTAGTGGCGAAACTTACATATTCGTTGCATCCCAAAAAAAGAAGACTTCCCTACTATATAGTATGCAAAAAACAGTACATCCCCCCCCAAAAAATAGCAAGTCCGAATTCATAGAAGTATTCGAAAAACATTAGGTGTAAAGTATCTGGATGACCTACTACTTTCACTGAGATTCTTAAGTGTGCATTCAATGGACATTTTACTATCCCATAAGGCCACGGGAGAGGATTTGTGAATGACAGTGAAGCTCGATGCTAATAAGCAACATAATAGTAACAACGTGGATGTAGTACATCCGAATTTCATTAATACTACCAATCATAGATATGTATAGATACCACATCCGCCATCTTGGATAGGTCAATGGGTTGTCACGTTATTTTTCAAGGGGGATGAGGAAGGGGGACTTTTACAGATGAGAATGTGTTGGTTTGTGTTTTTAGTATTTATCCTCAATATTTCAGGTTTGTAAACTATGGTAACATGTTAATGTTGTGTAAACTAAAAGCTTTGTCTTGTTGTATTATGTTAGTTTAACAAAATCATCGTCTATTGCATATAAATATTCATAGCTGTATATTATTACAGTTCGAGTGTTCATGGTCTGGCTTTGACTGTTCCAAAATGGCGGACGATATGGTTAGCCCATAAAAAAAGCTGCCGATAAAGCATCTACCTACACAGATATATGTTCAAAATAAGTTCAAATTGAAATATAACACCCAGTCAGTAAGGGATTTTGGATGTATGTAGTTTCTTGTATTTTGCAACTTTTGAGACCCCCTACAGTTAAGTGAGTGGAACTCATTGGTAGGCTAAATATAATTAAGATGGATAGCGGTACATGTGCTGTTGCTGCCATAAACCAGTCCACACTTTTCTCGGTTCTTCATACCCACTCGCCAAACTCCCAGAAGAGATGTGGTCTTTGATGTGGAGTGCGGACCTTGCTGAAAAAAAAAACAATATAGAAACCATCACAGAATTTGTAATGGTTTAACTAGTTATAATGGGAATTGTACTGGTTTTAATGGAAACTGTAATGGTCCCTGTTGATCTCTACTGGTAACTGGTCACCTTCTATTGGCAGCTTGTTTATTCTAATGGAATATGTCCCCAAAACACAAAACAAAAAACGAATATTTGGTTGGCTATAGCAGGGTCATATTTTATAGTACACACAAAAGCTATAATTCCAAAACGAAACCTCAGACCTTAACTGTAGGCATGACATAAGATCATAAACAAATGCTTATGAGAATCAGTCAATAGTTGGTGCTATAGCAGTCGTACAGCTGAAAAATTGTGTATTTACATGGAAAATTACCTGAAAGGATTTAGGCAGTTACAGGCTTATTAAATAACATACAATATTTATGCATGCACCTAAAGGTCTTAATGTGCTTAAACCCCTGTTCAGTAATTGTTGCTTGCAGTTCCATTTAAAACATGTTCTCACCTGAGAAAAAAACAGATCCCCACAGCTGTTACGATCACCACCACAACTCCCACAATACTTAGGATGATGCCCAAAAGCTTGTCTGAAAACATGACAAATTTCATATCATCATTCAAGTTTTTTTTCTTCTATATTACATGGAAATTCTAGTGGACAGAAGAAAGTAAGCTGCCAGGTAAGGCTGTCTCACTTATGCTGTTTTGCAGCGTGATCTCCATCATCGCCCGGAAGGCTCCTGTCGGTGACTTGCAGTTAGTCACGTTCAGGTAAAAACTTTCTGGAACCAGGAGATCCTTAATCTTCTCATCTTTTTTAGTGCTGTACAGCGTCGTTTGAGAGCGAATGGTCTGCACTGCGATGTTTGTGTGCACCTCCTTACACTTGGGCTGGCTGACATTTCTGAACTTTAGATTGCTCTTAAACTGAGGCTCCAGGTTAACGATCCAGGACACAGTGCTAGACGCTTTCATGCCAGACGGCCAGGCTGGGGTCGCCAACATGGTAGGGTTATCCATTTTTGGTGCAACAGTGAATATATAGTGCTCTGTATGAGGAACAGTAAAGACTCAAAAACTGATTTTTGATATCAAGCCACTTGCACTGAACATATCTGGGCAGGTACACTACCAGTTTATGGATTTATAATGAAAGCATTTACCTGATATGTCCTGTGTAAATGAATAGGTTAAGAAGGGTTTAGTTGCCAAATTCCGGTCATTGAAACTCACAACGGAGGCAGTTATTGCAATCTTGGATTCACGGATTTGGATTTTCTGAATGGTTCCCTTTGGACAAAACTGCCCAAGAGTAATGCCGGAGTTAACATGGGACACATTTAGCAGGATGATGCTGTTGCATTTGTCTTCAGGCGGACAATAACGCAGATCTCCCGCAGGAGACTGAAGCTCCACTGCACTGTTCTGAGGGCCATGAAGGTGCCAGATGATCGTCTTCAAAACTCCTGGTATACACTGCTGCTCGTAGTTGAAAGTTAGAGGGAATGGAGTGGAGGCACAGTCTCTCCATTCTTTACATTCTGTTGATTAAAAAAAACAAAGTAGTTTGCTGAATAGAGGAATATTTCATTATTAGGAGCCAAGAAGGAGTGTACAGGACTGTTGACACCAAGAGTGATAACTATAAGGACAACTATATAAGGTTTTCACACTGGTAGACAATGAGGTTTCGTTTGTTCTAAGAGTGCGCAACTATTTTGCCATCTGTCAAATGCTGGATTCTGCATTTTAAAAAGTTGGGTGGGTTCTGATTGGCTGTCAATATTTTTGATTGTTTTATCAGCTAGAAAATACATATCAAGAGAGATTCCAACAATATCATTCCCCTGTGTTGTCATCATTCGTTTTCCCTATTCTCATAGAATTAGAATGATTAGTAAAACTTAGTTGTATAGTTATTGTCTTGGTTTGAACCGGCCTTAATATTCATTAGTTTTTTTCTTCTTCTTCTTCTTGTGCCACTGTTGGTTAAAAGAAAGTTATGAAATTTGGCACACTGATTGGGGAGGGTCTAAAAAGTACCTATACCATTTTTAGTTTCTGTACGTCAAACTCTTTAGCACCACCATCTGCTCAAAATTCATTATTCTTAGACCTTTGGGTCTAGACACATTTATATTTCCCTCGGATTCTATTGGTAATTCAGAGTAGAATGAACCCATCAGTTTGTATCCTCCCCATCTTGGACTTCTACCCAAAAACAAAAAATTTATTCCTCACCAAAAATAATAATACTAATAATGTAAGTTATGTTAAATATAGATTCAGCTGGTGATTATTCTGTTCTAATGGTGACTGGGCGATACAAGAGTATTTTACAGTGTGAAAAAACTCAAAGCTCAAAAATTCAATGCATTATATCACACAGTTGAGTACCTAGGGTCTGGTTGACAGTTAACTCCATTTCATCCTTGTTACAGTCAAAGGAGTTCAGGACAAAATGGTTCCCTGAAGCTATGGTGATTGTGTCCATTATAACCGAATCCAGTTTCAACACGCAGGTTGACTTGGGATCCTTTTTATTTACACGTATCTGTAGTACTTGCTTCTCAGGCAGATCCCCTTCACATTGCCCTGCAACAGTGGAAAGTGGTAAAAAATTAAAAAAAACCTTTATATGAAACATTATCTGTCCATCCACTTAATAACCGGGCTAATCAATTACACAGACATTAATTATTGATTTAGTTTACTAGTTGTTGACCAATGAGGGTTTTTCAGTGGCCAATGGCTGATACCTAGAAGGCAGGGTGGGCTAATGGTGACTGGGCGATACAAGAGTATTTTACAGTGTGAAAAAACTCAAAGCTCAAAAATTCAATGCATTATATCACACAGTTGAGTACCTAGGGTCTGGTTGACAGTTAACTCCATTTCATCCTTGTTACAGTCAAAGGAGTTCAGGACAAAATGGTTCCCTGAAGCTATGGTGATTGTGTCCATTATAACCGAATCCAGTTTCAACACGCAGGTTGACTTGGGATCCTTTTTATTTACACGTATCTGTAGTACTTGCTTCTCAGGCAGATCCCCTTCACATTGCCCTGCAACAGTGGAAAGTGGTAAAAAATTAAAAAAAAACCTTTATATGAAACATTATCTGTCCATCCACTTAATAAACGGGCTAATCAATTACACAGACATTAATTATTGATTTAGTTTACTAGTTGTTGACCAATGAGGGTTTTTCAGTGGCCAATGGCTGATACCTAGAAGGCAGGGTGGCTGATTGGTGATTTAATCCTGATATATAGAGTATGCCCAAATAAAAAGCACAATCAAACCTGCTGAACAGAAAACATTTTCGAAAGAATTAGAAGGAAAAATAAACGGTTTGCTATCAATTGACAAAGCTGTCAAATCTGAAACGTTTTGAAAAGTTTCAACAAATAAAAATAATGTCCAATTTATTGGTTGATCACTAAAAATGTTTTGATTAGCTTACTGTAGAGCCGGCAGACGATGTTTTCATGCACAAGAAAGCGGTTTATTCACAGAACACAGTATTCTGAATCATTATGTAAACAGAACTTTCATTACGCCATTTAAGGAATTAAAGAGTAAGCCGTTTAACACACCTGGATTTCTGCTATAGAACTGGTCGTGTAAATGCATAAGCAGTGTTCTTACAGGTTTCTGAAGAGTGTTCATGTGCATTAAAGGACTAAACTTAAGGCACCGCATCTATACTTGGGTTAGAAATAAAGAATATGCTGCTAACACAGTTAGTGCTGGGTGGTATACCGGTTCATACCGAGTGTTTATTTTTGTTATGATATGAATTTTTAAAATACCGCAATACCGGTGTATGTCGCTTAAACAATGTTCGGAGCGCGACACTGTTTGAAAGGGGTCCCTTTTCACTGTTGCACTGTGGTGAGGGAACAGCTGTATGTGTTACTAAGCGTGAAAGCTCAGAAACTGAAGCTGTAGAACTAATAGAACGTGATGACACAGAAGAACTCATCCACAATATCCACACTGACCTCCACAAATATCCACCGCCCCTGCCATCAGCTCCCGCGTCTCTCACACACGAGCGCGACTTTAGCACTAGATTTAGCAACTTTCAGACCCTTTTAGCGGCTTTTTTCCCATAGAATATTCATACTGACAAACCTAGCCACTTTTTTGGATAAAGCTTAGCTATGGTTCAGTTGGAAGATTTCGTAATCTAGCCAAAACAACCGCATAGCCGCTCTTTAGTGTAGATGCATGTTGATTTTATCAGACGATGCCGCGATTATAAATGAGAGTGACTCCTGGTTAACATGTATTAAAAGAGGTTGTGTTTAGTCACTACTGAGTGTGGTATTTTTTTGACAATATTCACTCATCACGAGAGTAAAATAGGGCATTCTAAGTCAATATACTGCAGTATTTCTCTCTCAATCAGTAGAAAATATGGTTAACACCCCGTCATGCATGAAAAAAAATACCGTCATGTACCGTGAACCCGGTATAATTTTGAAAAATACCGTGATATACATTTTTGGTCATACCGCCCAGCATTAATCACAGTGCATGTAAAACACTGTTTTGTGCAGTAAACAGCTTTCGCACAATAAGCGGTTTTCTGGTGTTCATGTAAACAATCAGTTTTGAGGGTAACACATCAAGTCATGCGTATTTTGCAAACTGATGACTTTTTGGAAGTAATGAGCAATTTGAACCACAATTCCAGAGTTACTTTTACAAATTTGTTTTTTGACGCACTCAACACATTTGAAAAACTTTCGTCTGGATGAATTTTTCATGCTTGATTTTACACAAATTACGTCCAATAAGTTGACCACATGTATGGTCATAAAAACAGCTTTAAAAAAAATCTGCATTCATTTAATGTGACACTTGCTATAATTGTAACTTTAGCATGTTACTCTGACATAATAAAAATATTTAAACAAGGGATGAAATTAAAAGCAAAAATCCCTACTGCATTTAAAATATAACCAATAATTTAAATGTTTGTCATGATTGTCTGCTCGATGTTGAAACACTGTCTGAAATCAGTGTTGATTCAACACTGAATCAATGACTGCTGCTCTATATTTCATCCTTCCCCACCCTAATCAAACATGTGAAAAAGCAAGGTTGACTAAAGTAGCTTAAGAAGCAACTCCTGTGAGACCCGAGGCTCTTCAAAATCCACTGAAAAGAAAGAAAGCTCTCTTCTCATATCCTGTATTCATGAGTCATGGCCTGGAACTGCTTGGGTTTTCCATAATGACACAACAGATGGCTCAATCAAAGTTAGGTCAAAGTAAATCAATAATGATAAAGCTATCAATAAATAATAATAAAAATGTGTCAAGGAAACAATCGCATACAAATGCAACAAATCTTAGATTCTAAAAAAATCTTTTGAGAGTCACTCTTCTAAACCCAGAGTAACACACTGGTGGCTACACTATATAAACGACATGAATGAAAATAAGGTTTTCGACCACTGACAAGGAGTAAAATTCAAAAATGTGCACATGGACCCATACTGAGAGCCCTGATGTACCATATAGTTCCTTAAAAATCAAGTACAAAATCAAAAATACAGTTTGTTAAGACAAGAATCTAAAAGGATATTGAGATATATTTAATACTTCTTGAGTTGCAGGCACACAAACTTTGCAAAAAAGAATATCTTTGGCACTCAGATGGGTATGGAGCCACATTGAGAGCTAATATCTCTGGAACGGAATCATATAGGGCCTTAAAAATAAAGATACCAAAAGAAATGTTTGTTAAGAAAAAAATCTAAAAGGATATTGAGATAGATTTAATATTTCTTGAGTTACAAGCATGCAAACTTTGGAATAAAATATGAAAAGTGCTTTTTGACCATTGGCATATAATTGGCATATAATGCAACATGGATTGCAGAAAATTGTTACCAATTTGTGTAAAAATGGAATAATAATGCTGCCATTATTTTATTTTTCATAAATTTTCCTCCCTCGTAGCTCCAGGTCTAACATGAAAACTGTCACTTTGACCTCTTTTTAAAAATAGTGGATTACTCAGTAAATATGCATCCATAGTGTTTAGTATTTTGGCTTCTCATCTTCATTTATGTACAGTAGTTTCTTTCTCCACCAATCAAACAAACAAATAAACAATCTTAGCCAGAGGCCTCTGGTTGAGTTGACACGGAATAACCTAATATGATTACTATAAAAATATACATAAATAGGCATACACAATTCTAATTATGAAAATAAATAATTTGTGATACCTACCCTTGCTTCTCTTGATGGCAGAGATCTGGACGTGCACCATTAGGCCTTGCGATGGAGGCTGTGGCCCAGATATTTTGCAGTTCTTTATGGAGAGATTAAAGTTTCCAGGCTCCACCGACGGCTGGCTTACATTCATCAGTTTCACCAGAGGCTCTTTGCCCTGCCAAGTGTACTTCATTGTAGGGATGTTTTCAGGTTGGAGGCATGTTGGGACAGTGTAGCTCAGAATGCGCACATCAGTGTAGTACGCGTGGGGAACAGTAAAATACCACATTGTCTCTGCATTTTCAGGAAAAGCGATTGGGGTAAAGAAGTCCTGGGTTGAACTCTTCTCTGGGAGAACAACATGGAAATTAGCCAGTGCTGTAAAATAAAGTACAACTTTTCACATATATGCTTAAATATGCATATATGCACATATATGCTTAAATATCTAAGTTTACCATTGTACTTACAGTTAATGAGATGTCCCAGTGACACACCGATAACCTTCTTGTCCAGAGCTCGACCTCCAGACACTTCCAAAGACAGTTTGCCAACGTGACGCACATCGACTTGTCTAATAGTTCCATTCGGACAAAACCTTCCAACGCTGACATCCTCCACTGCGAGCATGTAAACGTGTTTGTCTGGGCAGCTGTCTGTGGGCTGAATCTGCCGTAAACCAGTACTAGTGAAATTCAAATGTAAGCTCTTTGTAGCCGGCGGCTTCAGATTCCAGATGAAGGTGCGATTGAACTTTTGAAAAGCATTGTATTCTTTGGGTTCGATGTTATATATCACTGTGGAGCAAACGTGCAAGTCAAAGAAAGAATACAGTGGATATATTAAGCTGACAACAAGTACACACCTGCAAGCTATCATTTTTTAGTAATATAAGATGGAGAATAATGTAAAAGTGTGCATTGGTTGTAAAATGAAGCTTTTCTGGTGCTCTTTAGTCTTTTTTTTTTTTTTTTTACTTTGCCAGAATGGTATGGAACTTGGTAAAGGTACTGGCACTTGCTATGTAAACCAACAAAAAAATGATAGCACTGGAAATTAATGAAAGGAAATTGGTTTCTAGTTGAAATGTTTGGTACTTTTTTTGTTGTTGTTTTTATATCAACCTCACATACATTTTTTTAATTCTTCAGTTTTAGAGTTAAATGTGTTTTGGAAGATATATATTTAATATAAAATGTGAAAATACTATTTTTGTGTAACAAAAAACTTTTTTAATTTCAATTTTCATTTTTTACTTCAGCAATAATATCCCAAGTGTCTTCTTTGAAAAGACACCATATGTGTTCCAAAGCGTTCAAGATTTATGGCTATTTAAGTTGGATATTACATTTTCAGGTCTTTGCTCAGAAAGTGGTTAACAAAGTGGAAATTTAGTAACATGAAATAAAAATACAAAACAAATTAATTTAAATTAATTAAAATAATCCAAATACAATTTAGTACAATAATTTGGATTGAAATAAAAATATAAACTTGGTCACTTTTGCCCACCACGTGATGAGCACCAGGGGGTTAATAGGTTGTCTAAATGCAGATGTGTACTGAGAGTTTACATGTGTTGTGTACAATTCAAATTTTTTATATATATATATTTTTTATATATACACACATACACACACACACACACTGTATAAACGAAAATGTAAAGAATAAAAAGTATATATTTTTTTATCTGGCAGCTCTCACCATTATCTCTGATGATCTGTACGGTGAATACATTCTCTGGCTGCAAGCAGCTGAAATCCAAAAGCGTGTCACTTCTGAGGACCACAGATGACTGGCACAACTGTTGTGTGTCCTGTCTGACGCAAACTTTGCACTCTGTATTTGTGTGAGCACTAGTATTAATCCGTATGATTGTGCCCAGTTCAACAGCAATATTGAACTCTGCACTACCTGAAATGATGCACAGACTTTTAACATCAAAATGTTAGGTTAAACCGCATGAGTATACAAGGGGGAAAAACATATATTTTAGACACTTTAACCACTGTAACCTATAGCTCTTTTCACATAGTGAGTGACAAAATTATAGCCTACAATTACTTATAAAAGCACAAAAATATAATGCAGTTTGAGCACCCCAAAAAACAGCAGTTAAATGCTGTTAGGTGTTTTGTGTGTGTGTGTCTGAATGTGAAATGTGTCATTAGCCACTATAAATCCAATAAATCAACAAATCCAACACCCTGCTGTCACGTTTTTTAATCTCAGGAGATGGAGCACATTGTTAACCTGTATTTTAGCGAAGCTATAATTCATTTCTGAAGTGAAAAGACATTTAAAAATGACTAAAATACTGACCAAACATCAAAGCAAATGGTGTAAACTGGAACCATTTCAAGACCATTTCCTTAAAAACGGTGTAGGCTAACTTAACAGTCGATTTACGTTTAAATTTGAGAAGAGGTAAAGATTAATCCTAATTTCCCGGACATCAAATCGATGTAGCCTCGGCTGGCCTAATACCTGTGCAGGTAAGTGTTGCATGTGAGGGTCTGGCTGTTACCTGTGAGCTCCGGGACTGACGACAGGAAAACCCCCAAAAAGAGTGAAAAGCACGCGAACCGCCAAATTGGCATGACTTTTTAATATTAAAACTCCTTACAGTAGGCTAAAAATGTAAGAATGCGCCATCGACCGTAGATATTAGTCTTCAATGTTCTTCAGAGAAAAGAAAGCGGCTTCCTGGTTTGCGACAGACATTACTCATCCATGCCACCTAACTGTGGAAATTGTTAAAGAACACGTAAAAACGACCTCGTGTCACCTAAAACACATAAACTAGAGAATAAAATTACGTGAAAGCAGACTAATTTGCCTACTTATCATGTAAACAGCGTGTAGTAACGCAACTGAGTGTGTTAGTCCCGCCTCAGATTGTATAACCTCATTCATCAAAACAGGTAGGCCTAAGTGCTGGTCAATATAAGCTACTTTTTTAAATATAAGCTACTTAAGAGACCCTTTTCTTTTCCCAGAACAATGTACATTTTTCATGTAAAATAACATTTATGTACAAACGCGTGAAAACTCTTCAAGTGTGTTAACATGGAAATATCTTTGCCAGCCTTCTTGACATTAAACAAATGAACAAAGAGCTATAATTCACCTTACCTCACCTCACAGTATTTAGATGATGATCTAGAGCAAGGTAAACTCGTAAGCCTGTTTAGTGTTTGTCTTTTTATTCAAGAAGTTGGCAATATTTTCTGCTAAATGCACTGAAATGAGCAATAAAAGCCTATATTTTCGAGACCATGGCTAATGGGAAAGTAAGAGACACCAGCTAACTTAGTTGCAACAGCTATCTTGGTGCGTCATTTTGATTTCCACAAAAAATAATTTTGACTATTCTCTAGAAAAAAGGCACTATATTGTGGAATGCAGTGGAGAAGGGTACTATCAAAACACATCAAATGCATTTGAAAGGTAGAAAACATCAAATTAATGCCCTTTAACATTCTTATAAGTGCATACTTAGTTTAGTTTGGCCTGAGATGAACTAAAGGCTCTGGAAACACACCACTTTAAACTACAGTTGTGCTGTGGGACATTATCAGTTGATCCGTTTGCACACATTTAGCCTATTCTAAAACCTTTATGTCGAAGGATCAGTGGAGATGATGTTTGTTCGGTCAGAGCTAGACTATAATTACGGTGGCCGAGAAGTGCAAAGCAAATCACAATTCTGAAAACAAAATAACAAATTACAAACGCAAATGCAAGTCTAAAAAACAAAATAACAATTCAGGAAGCACAACAACAATTCAGAAAACATTATAACAAGTCAGAAAACACAA